CGCCACAGCGCCCAGAGTGTGTGTGTGTGTGTGTGTGTGTGTGTGTGTGTGTGTGTGTGTGTGTGTGTGTGTGTGTGTGTGCGTGTGGTACGCGGGCCTCTCACTGTTGAACCCGCGTCCCCTGCATCGGCAGGCAGACTCTCAACCCCTGCGCTACCAGGGAAGCCCAGAGCTCCTATCTTTTAAGGATGAGCTTTCAGTTAATGAGGTCTTGTGTCATAGCCCTTTGTACCCACCACAGCCTCAGTTCCCCATCCTGCCTTAGGCCTATGCAGATGGCTAGTTGTAGGGTGGCTAATGGGGAAAGAAGGTCCCGCAGAGACAGTGCTCTGCAGAGGACCCAACAGGAGAGCGAGTGGCCAGACAGCACCCAGCCCAGAGCCCTCCCACCTCCCCGAGCTTACCTCATGATGTTGGAGGCATCTTCAGCATCGGGGTCTGCGCAGTACTTATTGGCAAGGATTAGGCATGCGTCTGCTGACTCTATCTAAGACACCAAAAGGAAAATCACAGAACACAAACATATAAATAGTCATGCTTGGTTGCAGTCTCTCTCTGTTGACGGCTCTGGGGAAACCTGGTGCTTTGCAAGGAAAGAAAAAAACAGTAATTCTGAGAGATTATAGTTTTTGTCAAAAGTGTACGTTGCAAGTTCTTGTTACGATATAAACATTTCATCTTGTTGCTGTTGGAGGGGACAATGTGTACCTTGGTAACTACACTTCTCATTCTGCATAGCCTTTTACATGTAAGCTTTCTGGATTTCTTGAGACGACAATTAATTAAGCCTTTCGGTCCCCTCTCCACCTCCTTTCCCCACCATCTGCACCATCATCCTAACTTTTCCAGTCAGGAAATGGCGTTAGGGGGGCTAAACCTCTTCTCCCAGGCTACCAAGTTAACTGAGTCATTGGGGATTCAGAAATTTAGACTCCAAAGTCCTTCACCTAACCTTTTTTCACATCTTAACCAGGGAATAAGAGGAAATGAGAGCCTTAACTCAGATAACAGCTCAGTACTGTTTAGTATCCAATTAGCATTCAGATATTCAAAAGACAACGAATCTACGTGTATGAAATGATGTTACAGATGACCTAGAAATACAACCTACTGACTTATCTAAACATGTGCCAACAGAGACTTATTCCTTTGAGGGGATATGAGGAGTTGTGCAAAGAATTGCTTGCATCTAAGTCAGGTCCACGGACAGTAACTATTTTCCCCAAGTTCCCATAAGATTCCACATTAGACATAACTTGGATCAGGGCTGGATAATATTAACAGGACTCTGTAAGCATAAGAATTCCCATTCTGGCTCAGGTCTGTCCTACTTGGGATGTTGTACTTATAACAGACCATTCTTGCATTGGGTGGGAGGCCATGGTTTCCTCCATGGTATGTCACAAATTGTCTCTAGTTTTCTTTCTTTCATAAAGTAAAGAATTTACCCAAATCCGTTTGGCTTATTCACGTTTGCCAATCACATTATTTACTGCATTATGTGGTGACCACAGTAAGCATTTAGATGTCAGTGGATTCAAAATATTAATCTATCTCCCCTGGTGTGCAAATATTGAACGTGCTTACAAAATCTCTGTGAAATGAGTAAAGTAGCAGATGTCATTTTGCTGTATCCCTTTCCCTTATAAGCCTTAGGTGTGCTTTATAAGAAGGTTCTAACTTAGTCGGTTCCAGAAAGAAAGACTAGCCCATTACCAAGTGCCATCAGATACCTGAGTGTTTAGTTTTGCACCTTTAAGTCCTTGGTGAGGAAAAAAGGAAGCTCAAAATGTGTCACGGCTTGGGTAAAGTTTATTTTATAGTGTATCCTTAATGTTTCTTTCTGATGTAAATAACAGATTTCAGAGCTACACTGAGTCCAATTTAAGTATTCAAAATGGGAATTACTTGATTGTTATGTTATATATTGAGTCCATACAACTGGTCTACTTCCTTTAGCAGTGCTGATATTGAGGCAACCAGCGATGTCTAGCATGTTATGTACAACAAGTCCACATGTGGAATGCTTACAGGCGGTCCGCCATGTGCCGGCAGAACAAAGTCCTGGGACCAGTGCGAGGGTGATACCAAGGTTGGTAGTATCTGATTTATCTCATTAGGGGTATGGAGGTGACTCTTGGCCACCCTGGGACGCATGTCCCTTTACCACAGAGTCACACACCCCGGATGGAGTAAAAGCAGGAGTCACTGCTTCCTTCTTACCTTGACTCTCGCAAGATCGTGTGGATTGAGGACTGAACCCTGATAAAATTCCACCTGAGTAAAATGTCGTTTGAACAGAGCTTCAAGCTCCAGGTTAGGGGAAATGCTGGGCAGGGAGAGAAAAAACAACCATTAATATGACAGACTCGGGTATTCAGCCTCCATGACCTCCCTTCCCTCCAATTTTCACAGAGAGAGACATGGGAAAAAGGTTTTCACCTTCAGAGCAGCCCCCTTTCAGGCCATAAATAAGAGGCTCACACTCAAGAGAAGTAAAACCCCAGCCCAACCGAAAGCCAAAGTTAAAATGGAGGGGTTCATAAGCTTTACAGAGTCTGAGGCCTATGGGGCAAAATGTCTTCAACTTCACGATGAATGGAATCCCTGTTTTATGAATGGAGAAACTGAGGCTGTGACATCAGGGGTTGGCCAAAAGTCTTCCTGGCAGAGCCTCCTGCTGTTCCTTCCATCAAAAGCCTTTTCCCTGCTTCTCCACCTCATGGACTTTTCACTCCCCAGGGCCTGGATCAAAAGAACGTCACTTCTGAGCAGCCACACACAGAGCTAATCCACTCTCAGTATCGCTCTGGATTCAGCATGTGTACACTATTCATCATTCTTGGTGCTGAGCTACACAGCCATCTTTCCCATTGCAGGGCAAGGATTAAAACATTGGTTGACCTGTTCATTCATTTATTACTTCTGCAGAGATGAAAAATACCTACTCTCTGTTAGGTACTGTGCCTACTAGGTGCCAAGAACCTACTAGGTGCCAAGGACTGAGTTAATCAACCCTTGCCTAACATTTATGTAGTACTCAGTAGTGATAATAACCGCTAATGTTCTTGAGCATTTACTATGTGGCAGCTACCATCCTAAGCACTTGACAAGTATTAACTCATTTAAACCTCAAAAACAACTCTACAGGAAGGTATGTTATTAACCCAAAGCTTTGAGAGGTTAATTAACTGGGCCACGGACGACAAGGCTGACACTGATAGATGCTGGGGTCCTAGCAACTGAAGCAGTAACAGCCGGCTTGTTGATTCAGACTAAGGCAGTGGGTGAGAGAAAAGCAGCTGCCTGTGCAAATCCAACCAGTCTTCCAGATCCATGACAAGTCAGTCCTCCTTCAGGAAGCCTGCCTGCCCTGGAAATACAAGGAGTGGTGGTCTCTCCCTGATACAGATGCCCCGTGTGATTCTGCCACTTGATTAAACTGACATCAGTCCGTTACTAGAGATCCATGTTGTGCTCCAATTTCTGCACATGTGCTCATCTTGAAATGCCAAACCAAGATGAGGGCAGAACCTATACACTATACTTGTCTTGAACCTTCCAAACGCTCAGCAGAGGATGGGCCTCACAGCTGGCCATCGGTGGCTAAGCAGTTAATTGGATCTGTGGGTTCTGCTCCTGTGCCCACGGCCTGGCTGGTCTTTTCAGAACTTGGATAAGTCAGTGCTAGGAAGAAAAATGCTGGTGCTCAGACATGGTCAGTTTCATATTCACAAATCCCGAAAGGAAGGAGATGCACCGGATAGCTATAGGAAAGTCAACCTCAGTGGGATCTCAGAGCAGGACTGAGTCCTGGGTGGTCAACCCCACATGGAGCCAACACCAACATGTGAGCTTTGTCCCTTGGCAACATGCGGCTAAGACTGGCCCCCATGATAGCCCCATCTCCATAAAAGAAGAGGGTGCCACCCACGTCAACATGCCTGTATCCCCCAACTCTCCGTCCCTGTTATGGACTACCTTTTACCTAAAAGGGGATCAGGCAAAGAACTTGCTTTCCTCACCTGTAAAGCAAACTTGGTAAGACCTACCTCCTAAGTACATTGGGCAGCCTAATGTATTTTCTCTCTCATGATAACAGCTAACATTTATTGAGCACTTACTGTGTGCCTGATTCTGCTCTGTATACTTGGAATGGATTACTTCTTTTCATTCTCAAGATAGCCCAAGAAACCACTGTGATCTCCCCATCTTATGGATGTGGAAACTGAGGCCCAGGGAGGTGAACTTGTTCAGTACTTGGTTGAGTCGGGATTCAGATTGAACTCTGAGCCAAGCATGTACTCTTACTCCCTCTGTTGATTTCAGGAGAGGCTGTGGTGACCAGCACTGTGTCCTACACCGAAGGTTCCAAGGAACGACAGTTGTTGTTGTTACTGTTGCTATTACCCTGTACCCTGCTTCCTCTTATGTCTCTGTCTTGCTTGGTCACTATGTCAATCCTGCACTCATAAAGGATCTACACCATACAGCTAATCATCCACACCAGACACTGTGGACACACCTGGATCGCATAGATCCAGATAGCTGAGGGGACAGTACTGACGTGTTTGACCCATAATGAACCCCACTGTTACTTGCCAGAATTGCTTCCACAGAGACAGACACTGCTCTTATTCACTGAACGAGTGCGTTGCTTCCTTTCCATCGGTTCCAGAACATCCTCTCCAATGAGCCCAGCAGGGATCATGGCTGATTCAACTCTGCCCTGCCCCCCGAATGCCGCCCTCACATCACCCCTCCTACAGACACTTGAGGAGTCCCCCCTAGAGGTGCCTGGTTGGGTTGGAGGGTCTAGAAACAGCAGGGGCCTCTTACTTGTGAAGAAAGACAATCTCCACGTTGACATCATCCCGGTCCTTGTGCAGAAAGTCCTTCAGGAAGTTGGAAACGCTCTCCAGCGTGATGTGTCCACAGACCACAATGTGCCTGGATGGGAGAGGCCAGTTAGATGAGGCCAGCCCAGCGATGCCCCGGCACCCACCCGCGGCCAGAGAGAGGAAGTGTGCAGCTGCAGGGAAGCATTCGTCTCCCCCAAGGAGGCTCAGTAAAGCCCAGCTCCCCTCCCCAGAGGGCAGTGAGGCAAAGCAGCGGGGCTGGAAGGTGCTCAGAGACTCTTTGACAGAAGAGCATATGGCTTCTCACCTGATGCTGCACAAAATCCTATTAAAAGCCCAGCCGTTCGGCCAAGTGGTTTTATGCATTTAACAATAAGTGACATTATGCTTGAGCTTAAACGCTGCATTATCAAGTCCCTTGCAGATTCATATCTCTCCCTTTCTGCCCACAAAGCGTCCTCCCGGGAGATTTACCGAATGAGTCTTGGTTTATGACATAGAGCTTATCAGGTAATGAGATAACAAATCTTGTTGAAATGATGATTTTGTGTGTAAGAAAGCGGGCTTTTATCAGGGTGGCTAATGTGCAGCTTGACACATTATGGGCTCTGCTGGCCGTAAGCAGTAAAAAGGAAATTTTGCACTTTTCCGCCATAACTCCTCTGACAACGGGGGCATGTAACACTTTACAGTAAGTGAGCATTACTCAGGGCTAAATGGGGACGGGACACCTATGGAATCTGAGCTCGTGCCGCAGGCAGGCTGTGCATCCCCAGACAGCTGCTTCCTTAGGGTGCCTGGGATTTCTATGAGAAACAAAGGAATTTACCTCAGGATGGGGAGAAAAGCTAGGAAGGGATGATGAAGATGGAATTGTCTGCCTTTATTTCGGGGTGGTTTGGACTTCTGTTTCTGGAGATGGTAACTCCCCCTGAGGAGATGAGCCCATCTTCCAGGGCTCCTGGATGGATGAACAGTCTCCCCAACATCTTTGGGCTCCTGGGCCAATCTGACTTTGACACTGGGCTATACTATGGCCACTTATACTTATTACATATGATGCTCGGTCAGGAGGAAGCTCTCTGGTGCAAGAGTTAGCCCCGTGACTGACTGTCGAGATAAAACCGGCTGGCTTCTACTAAAGAGACTGTAGCAAAAGGCTCAGCCCAGATCCCTGTGCCCGTCAGGCTGACAGTGGCAGAGGCTGACTCCCTGGCTGGGCTGTGAGGCGTGGGCAGGTGGTGAACATGGAGCACGGTAATTTTGCGGGGAAATTTAGAACGGCCGGGCCCCTTGCACTTCATAATTGCTCTGCGCACATTCCAATAAGGCAGAAAAGCTCATTGGCTGGAGGCGGCTCCTAAGAGAAGGCAGCGATGATTGCTTATGCGATGTTCCATTAGATGCCATTACGAGAGCCTGCCCTTTTCGGTGTAATTTGGTGCTTGACTAAGTATGCGAGAATAATGCAGTAAACTCATTGGTGAAAGGATAATGATGCAGAACAAAGAGTGAATCAATAATATGCATGACGCAGTTAATAATATCACCATTATGGACTGTTATTGTTACGGTGCTGCACTTAGCGATCGGGCAAGTGGAGGCCCTTGGAGGGGGGACTGTGGAATGTCAATGGGCTCCCTCAGAAGAGACGTTTTAATATAATCACTTTGTTCTCAAGCCAGTACCTACTAGGTTAAGGGAGGTCCCTTGGCCACTGATTCAAATTTTATGCCCCCAAACCCGTATGACTAAGTTCCTTCTGAAACACACAGTATGTATGTCAGGATACACGATGTAAGTTGAACAACTGGACTATAAACATTTTCATCAGGTCATATCTCAAACTGTTTCTCGTGGCGAACGTGCATTTATGTGGACAAAACAGGCTGCAAGTGAATATGGATGTTCTGAATAAGACTTCTGATTTTGAACTTGCCAAGTATGTTCAGAAAGTGGTTGAGAAACAGTATATCCCTCCTGATATCTGACCTCTCCACAAATGACAGTGGGGCTCTTTGGGGGCAATTCTAATGCTTTCTGCTTACAAACTTCCATCATTGAGAACAAGGCCAGCATGAATCCAATGTATGGGCACCTCTGCAGGACAGATACGTGACTGGAACTCTTCCCGAAAGTAAGACAGATTTCATTCCCTGCTCTGCCACCAAGGATGTGTGTGATCCTGGGCAAGCTACTTATCCCCATTCAACTGAAGAGGGAGCTGAGAGGTTAATACTACCCATCCAGCCGCCTGCACCAGGCATTGCAGAGCTCAAAGTTCTATACCAGCATAAGCCTGGTTATCACTCAGAGCTAGACTCAAATCAATGATAGGTCCAGGGAAATGCCAGAACATTCAACCTTCCTATCCTGTACGCAAAGAACTGAATGAACATCTGCCAGCATTCCCTTTTCCTCTTCTGAGCTCATTCATCTCCAGGACAGATGTGTGGGAAGCAGAGGGGAAGGAGATGAGTCCACCCTCTTACCCTTGAATCAAAGATTCAGCCAGCTGATTTATTCAGCCTTAGAAAGAGACAGGGTTCTTTTAGTTGAAAATGTGCTGGGTACATATAAAATATATTCCAATGCAATCAATATTATCCCTTAAGCCTTTAATTAGCTTTCACTTCTCTTAAGAAGTAGACAAATGTTGGCAGGAGAGGGGAGAAAAAAAGGATTGACTTTTCTAATTTGGCGCTAGCTGTCCAGTACCATTCCAGACAATTGAAAATATATATCTTTAAGCTACAGCATGATTTCTGAGGTGGAGAGCAGTCTTTATCAAAAAGGAAGAAAAAAAGTCTTCCTTCAACATAATTGGTATTTTTGCTCAGAAAAAGCGAGAGTGATTGAAAGCAGACTGCCTTTTTGCCCAAGAAGAGTTATTAAGTACACTATCATGGCAACCTTGGAGAACCCATATTGTTCCAATCTGTCCTCTATCGGATTTGAAGATTTACGGCTTCCTCCTTTTGTGCCAATAATCATTTCCCTCCATTTTGTTTTCCGTACAGTGGAAGCTATCAAGGAGCCCACATATTGAAAATGTTTGAATGCAGTTAGAAGAGATGGATGGAGAGAAGCTGCCTCTCTAAATCAGCATCTGCATTAGAAGATCTGCTCCCAGCAGCCCATGTCTGAGGGATCACTAGGGGCCCTGCAGGAGTGCAAGGGATGGACGGTGAAAGGGGAAATGTTGTTTTCCAGAAATATTTTCAGGACTTTTGAAAATTCCATGGGCAACAGTTTGAAGAAAGCTGTTATTGCTGGGAGAAGAGAAGCAGAATTTCTCACATCTTCAGTGATTGAAAATATAATTGAAAATACTCTAAGATTGAGAGCAGGGTGTGCCCTCCTTGGAAGCAGAGTGATGGCTGTTCACGGTGAATGATCTGAGAAATGCCAAAAAGATCTTCATCTAAAATTCTCTCTGTCGGGTTCCTTGACACCTACAAATCTACCATGCGAGATTCATACTTTGATAGCCCTGGGGTAGCTCAGCTCAGACACTAAATAACCAAATAGTCTTGGGCAAGGTACCAATTCTGCATTTTACAACTATAATGTCAGAGTCTCTGAGGGGCTGGAGCTAGTACCTGATTCATGAGGTTATCCTGAGGATTTATTTAAACAGATAATACATGGAAGGGGCCTAGTAAAGAGTCTGGGCCATTTTAAGAATGATTAAATGGTAGGATTCATGTGATATCTGTAAATCAGGATGTAACAGATATAAAGTGCTCTATGGCTCCTGGAGTCTCTCTCACCTGATCCTCAAACAACCCTGTGTTGCTACTATCTGTATCTTTTCAAATAACCTCTCTGAACCTCAATTTCCTTAAGTCATGTGCCTGACGTCCCACGGCAGGTAAAGTGACTTGCCCAGCATATGATCCAGGTGTCAGCCTCTAACTCTCACAAAGGCAAAGGTGATGAAATGGAGAGAGCAGAGGTTTGGGTATTTCAGCTTCCGCTCCTTCACGGCAGACAGGGCTGGGCCAACAAAAGGTCCTCTCAGACACGTGGTGGAGGAGACGTTGGAGGGTCCTCCCCGGGCCAGGAGAGAGGCCCTGACTTAAAGCATCACCACTTTTGTGGTATCACGGGATTCTAGCTGCGTCTAATCAGCCAGACCAGCAAGCTCAAGGCAGCAAAGGCTGAGTGACAACAAACTCTAAACCAAGTTTTGAACTGAAGCCACCCAATTTGGCAAGACAAAGGGCTGCAAGGGGATATAAATGTCCATTTTAGACATTTTATGCCATGTCCAGCCCAAGGGCCCAGAAGATAACAAAAAGCTAAAAGATTCATTGACAACAGAGAATATTTAGGAAAGTTATAGCTCTGAAGGGCTCTAACGTTCTTCCCATCTGCGGCTCTGGACTTGAACGTTTTTAGACTACCAGCCATCTTAATGATGGGTGTCTACAGGGCCTGGCCACTCAGTTTGTGAAGATGGCCAACAAACCTAAATCGTTAACCATTCCTGATGTGACGGTCTTTCTGGTTTTTAAAGTTCTCTCAAGTCCTGTGAACAACTCTTTCTTGGGATAAACTAATTTTAATGGCTTGGATTAAAAGATCCAACTCAGGTACGTGAGGAACCGTCTTAAATGCCAAAATAGTAGCCGATGGCATTCTGTGGGAAGGAGTTACTCATCCAGCGTAAGCAAGCATGCCTGGTTTGGGTAAGGGCCAGAAACATGGGACGGATTGGATTAGGAGTGGGTAACACTAGTGTGCCATGGAGCAGGCTTGGCATCGAGGGGGTTGAGTGTGACTTAATCAGAGGAAGAATGATGCTTGACTATTACGAACTCTACCAGCTTCACCAGAAGGCTGCCAGTTGCTTATTCCATGGGTATGTCTTCACTAAATACACACTGGTGTGCCCCTCCCATTATCAACCATCTCCACTTCCAGAAGGAAACCCTGCACATTATCCTCAATCTGTCTACACCCTTC